TACAGCATTTTGAATTAAATCATAGAAGTTCTATCCAAAGTCCAAAAAGTCAATCTTGAATGTGCTTATATGCCAGCAGTCTCGAATGTGATAATGTGCCAATAGTCTTGATATATTACAATGACATAATCCAAAATATCCTTGAATTAATTCGCAATAATCGCATAATATTAATGTAGTCCCAAAATATTGATCACTTTGTAATTCAAGTGAATAATTTAAATAAATTAATTTATCCTTTCAAATATTAACTGAAACAAAACGAAAGTTAATTCTTCTAACGAGTGATGTCAAATTAGAAAAGAGTAATTCTGTTCACTTCTCCCTTACATAAAAACCTTTTTCACAATTTGAACACCAGGATGACAGTCAGAAATTCATTCAAGAACATTCGAAGTTGAGAACAGTTATCAGGAATTTCCAAGAGAAAAATTAATGTCCTAAGGTCAGGTATATATCTCCAGTAATGTTGATCTTTAAACATGATCTACAATTTTAGATAAATATTACCTATGTAATATCATGTGTACAAAATAAAGAGTTTTATCTTGTAGGCCCTAAACTCAATTACTAAGGCCAATCACACGATATAGATAAAGATAACATATAATGATAGAGAATAACCATCACACAATAAAAATACTTATACACATGACAAATAGATTATTCAGTGACATAAATGGTAACACAGTTCTACGATAAAAGCAAAGAGCCTACGAAAAAGATCTATAATATCCTCCAGGCAAATAAAAAGATGTCTGATGTTTTAAAAATGAACTTTCATGTGTTATCAATAATTGAATTTATTGGTTTGCGGTCAAAAGTGTGGGTATGTTAAAACTGATCACCGTGAGAAAAAAGTTTGCAAAAATAGGCAAAGATTTGACATCAAAAACATGTAAAATTTAAGATGTACAAGGACTGCATATTTAATTATAATAAAACCTTCTACACCATAAATATGGTCAGTGATAAAACTACACTTTTGTTTGCTGATCAAAAGCCCTCTTTAGTGGACAAAATAAATACATGAAGTTACGATATTATACCAAAGTGATACAGCTGCATGAATAAATTGAAATGAACGAATCGCTTCGAATCGATTAGATACTAATGTTACGGATATTAGGTGTGCCTGTTTAAATTGTGTGTGTGTTTGTGTGTGTGTGTGTGTTTGTGTGTGCGTGTTTGTGTGTGTGTGTTTGTGTGTGTGTGTGACTTGTTCAGCTAATATTAATATTGCAATGTTAATATTATTCAATTCGGCGTAATCTAAGAAAAAAAGAAATGAATCGCTTCAAATCGATTATATACTAATGTTACGGATATTAGGTGTGCCTGCTTTAAGTGCGTGTGTGTGAGTGAGTGAGTGAGTGAGTGAGTGAGTGAGTGAGTGTGTGTGTGTGTGTGTGTGTGTGTGTGTGTGTGTGTGAATGACTTGTTCAGCGCCAGATGAAGAAACGAAAGCACCATGGTATTGAACAAGAATTTAAAACTACCATTTGTTTCGAAACTATTTACAGAGCTAAAAAGGAAAGAAATCTACGTGGAACTTGTAAAATCCTAGCGTTCCAATAAAGACATACTACAAATTAATCAAGAAGAAGTTTAGTAATCCACCTCCTCCGTTTAGATAGAAACACATTCAACACAGAAAGAGAGAAAGAAAGAAAGAAAGAAAGAAAGAAAGAAAGAAAGAAAGAAAGAAATAAAGAAAGAAAGAAAGAGAGAGAGAGAGAGAGAGAGAGAGAGAGAGAGAGAGAGAGAGAGAGAGAGAGAGAGAGAGAGAGAGAGAGAGAGAGAGAGAGAGACACCACCCAAAAAATAAACAAAGCGAAAACAAACTCTTACTCCTGCATGCATAAATATGTTCCCTAAAGAATTACTAGTACAGATTCGGTTTTAGAAATAGTTACTGTAGTACATGAAAATACAAGGGGTTTCTCAAACAGTTTGTCATAAAGAGTACAAAACAAGTAGGATAGAAAGTTAAAATAAATAACGTTTTCCTGAGCAGTCATCCTAAATTACCGGAGGATGCCCGATTTAATGCATATCTAATACTGAAATGAATAAGAATTAAGACTTGTTACAACGTATTAGGTGCGCGCTTTTTGCAGTTCATCTTCGCTTTTTTTGCGATTTTAAAACTTAACGTCCCTGTAGCATACGTTTGAAGACTTTAAATTAAATTATTGTCCCAGTGGATTTTGCTAAATTAACCAAAGACTATCTAACTGTTTCAGGGTTGTTGTATTATAGGTAACACACACACACACACACACACACACACACACACACACACACACACACACACACAATAGTTGTGAATTTGAGCAGAATAAAGATGTCGAATTCTAGATAACGACGGTCACCAGTCTGACTCGTTTTGTTAAAATCTCGAAAACTAACAAGAACATTGTTGGTTTCATTGCAGGTTTAATCGTAATAGAAAAATCAAAGCAGCCCCAGTGTCTTTTAAATTTCTAAATTTCCATTATTTTCACTGGGTCACTTTAAAATGTTGGAAACAACAGTAACGATAAAGGAGAATGGTCGTGAATTTGCCTTCA